TTCACTCATTTTTTCCAGAATCTACCTCGTTCAGCTTGTTAGTGTGCTGGCATCCTTCCTTATCCTTTGCTGCGTTATGAGCTGCATCAGCCAATTTTACCTATATTGTCAATTCTCCTGCTGTCAATTCTTTTTTTTTACCAGCTGCATTGATTAAACTCATCACATTAACACCTCTTTAGGTGATCCTTGTCCCTAAGGATCGAAGTCTGGAAATTGAGAGATAAGGAATGAGTAATCCTCCCAAGTTGCTTGCTCAGGACACAAATTCATCTATTCCACCAATAGCAGTGGCACTACTTGTTTAGCTTTCTTGACAATTCTTTTGTCTACTACAACAGTAGGATAAACCAATGGTTTACCTTCAATACTGACTTCTGGAGGTGTTATGCTTGCCACTATCTTAGGACCAATCTTTTTCTTTAGTAAGTTGACATGAAAGACTGGATTAATTTTTGTAGAAGCTGGCAAATGCAACTTGTATGCAATAGGTCCCACCTTAGCAATAACAGGATAAGGCCCATAATACTCGGATAAAAGCTTCAAAGTTTTCCTGAGTGCTAAAGATGTCTGTTTATAAGGTTGGATTTTCAGATACACCTCATCCCCCACTTGAAACTCCCTTTCACTTCTTTTTTTGTCAGCATAATATTTCATCCATTGTTTAGCCTTTTGTAATTGGTCTATCATCAACTTGCTCAATTGCTCTCTCTCTTTGAGGACCTCTTCAACTGTTTGAACCTTGGCATTTGAACTTGCATCCCAACAAAATCCTGGAGGCTGATATCCATACAATGCCTGAAGAGGAGTTATCCCAAGAGCAGTATGATAACTGGTGTTGTACCACCATTCTGTCAATAGCAACCAGCTAGACCATGATTTTGGTTTGAGGAAACACATGCACCTCAAATACTACTTTAAGCACTGAGTCAATCTCTTGGTTTGACCATCAGACTCAGGATGGTAAGCCGTACTCATTTGTACATTGGTTTCCAACAGTTTCATTAATTCCTGCCAAATCAACCCTGAAAAATACCTTATCTCTATCTGAAATTATCACTTTAGGTGCACCATGTAGCTTGTGAACTTGGTTTAAGTAGAGTTTAGCTACATCTAAAGCTGTGTAAGTGTGACAAAGGGATAAAAAATGGGCATACTTGGTGAATTTATCAATAATAACTAGGATACGGCCGCTTTTTGGAGAGATTGGCAAGTCTTCAATGAAGTCCATAGTAATTACCTCCTAATGTTGTTTAGGAATAGGAATTGGCAAAAACTTCCCAGGATATGTTACATGCTTATTTTTGTTTCTCTGACATACCTCACACCGTTGGATATATTCTTGCACTGCTATCAACATCTTAGGCCAGTTGAAGTATAGCTTAAGTCTGTAATAGGTAGCTTGGGTACCAGAATGACCTCCTTGAGGAGAGTCATGCAAGCTCTGTAGTAGTTGGTTTCTCAGTCCACCTTGACTTCCAATATAGACTTTGCCCTTGTATCTAAGGATTCCATTGGTATAGGAGAAGTTTGGAACAGCAGCCTGATTCACTGCCAATGCAGTGATTTTCTCTTGAACCAGTTTGTCACCCCAATAACTGTTTTCAATGTCCTTTACCCATTCTAGTATAATAGTAACTGATGATAGGCTTTGACACAGAGCCTCCACTTCATATTGTCTTGAAAGAGCATTAGCAGCTTTATTGTTTTTTCCTTGTCTGTACATTATAGAATAATCCAACCACAATAATTTGGTCAACCCATTTTTTTGTATGGTGGTGGTTAATTTCTGTTCCAGCAGATATTTCAAAGCCTCATGGTCAGTCTTAATCACAAATGGTCCTCCCTTTAAGTAATGCCTCCACTTGGTGGCAGCCATCAATATCGCCAAATACTCCTTTTCATAAACGGGCAACTCTATATCCCTTGGTCCCAAAGCCTTACTTAGATAAGCTACAGGTCTACCTTTTTGAGTTAACACAGAGCCAACACCTTTAGAACTAGCATCAGTCTGAATATAAAAAGGTTTAGTAAAGTTGGGTATGGTTAATACTGGAGCAGTGATCATGGATTCCTCACTGCTGGAAAGCTGCTATAGCTTCGGTAGTCTAATTAAATGCATTCTTTCTTAGCATATCTGTCAAAGGTTTACTAATTTCACCATAATTTCTAATGAACTTTCTGTAATAGCCTGTCAACCCCAGAAAACCTCTTAATGACTTCAGGTTCTTGGGCAGTGGCCAATACTTCATAGCTTCAATCTAGGTTGGATCAGTAGAGACTCCTTCATCTGAAATAATGTGGCCTAAGTACTCAACTTGACTTTGGCCAAAAAAGCATTAGCTCCATTTTTCATACAGTTTGTTTGTTCTTATCACCTCAAAAAGAACTCTCAAGTGTTTAATATGTTCTAACAATTCAGTGCTGCAAACAAGAATGTCATCAAAGAATACAAGCACAAATTTTCTCCAATATAAAGGAAATAAGTCATTTATCAAAGACTGAAATGTAGCTGGAGCATTTGTGAGACCAAAAGGCATTACCTTGAACTCATAGTGACCATGATGTGTCCTAAAAGCTGTTTTTGGAATATCCTCCTCCTTGACTTTAATCTGCCAGTAGCCAGACCTCAAATCTATCTTTGAAAAAAACTTTTTGCTCCCTTAAGCTCATCCAACAAGTCTTTCATTACTGGGATAGGAAACTTATCTTTCACAATCATGGCATTCAATTTTCTATAATCAATACATAATCTCCAGCTTCCATCCTTCTTCTTTCCCAGTAAGGATGGTGATGCAAAAGGGCTTTTGCTAGTTTGCATAATAGAGGCTGATAGCATTTCTGAGATTTGTTTTTCAATCTCAAACTTCTGATAATGAGGGAACCTGTAAGGCCTCAAATTGAGGGGTTGGTATCCAGGCTTAAGGGGCATACAGTGGTCATTTTCCTTCACTGGAGGGAATCCTTTTGGTTCATCAAATATGTCTAAATATGCATTAAGTAATGCCTGCAGCTCTACTTGTGTCTGAGTGTCATAGTTTTCAACACTGAACATATAAATATCCCCCATCATCTTCGGATTCTTAGCGGCCATCTTCTGTAATTTCTTCCCAGACATGAGCTTGAGGCTTGTTGCTGGTTGACCAGCCCTCAATATGACTTGTTCCCCATCTTTCTGAAAAGGCACTGTTAGATTATTGAAATAAAAAACTAATGGACTATATTTTTTCATCCAATCCATCCTTAACACCGTATCACTTCCCTCCATAGACAAAACCCTCAAGTCATGTGTAAAATAATACCCCTGCATACTCCATTTCAGCTGCTTGCACTTAGCAGTCTCTCCATTGGCCACAGTAATAGCTAGGGGATTGGCATGTTCCAATTCAACTCCATCCCTAGCCCACCTTGGAGTGACAAAGCTATGTGTATTCCCACTGTTAATGAGTACACTTAAGGGCTTTCTAGCAATATTTTCTTGGATCCTTAAGGTCCTATGGCCAACATTTCCTGTCAAGGCATTAACAGAGATCTCAGCGTTGTCTTCGTTCCTGATTGGTTCTTCTGTTGAAACTTGTTCAGTACTGAGTTGTTTATCTTCTGTTTGAACAATTACTTCTTGTTCTTCTTCCATAGTGATCAAGTTCAGCTGTTTGACTTTGCATACATGCGCTGGAACAAATTTTTTGCCACACTTAAAACACAAATTCTATGCCCTCCTTTGTTCTATGAGGGCTTGTTTGCCTAAAGATGCTGTAGGTATGGGTATGGTTCTGTTTGTTTGGTTAGGAGTAACAAGGTGAGGTTTAGTGTTTAGGAATTGGTTGCTGGTAGAATTAGGTTTGGTGGCTGGTTTGTACTTTCTGTTGTCCCATTCTAGAGAAAGTTCATGAAGCCTGGTCAATCTATATGCTGCAGACAGAGTAGAGGGTTGATTTGCCTTGACTCTGAACTTAAGGTCTTCCTCCACCCAACAAATAAAGCTAGGGACAAAGTAGCCTTCCACTAAATGGGGATTATATTGAAGCATGTAAGGCTTAAGTTCCTCAAATTTCTCCTGATAGTCTTCCAAAGTAGATTTTTGAGCCAACTTGTTGAATTTTCCACAATATCCAAGAAAGTTTTGTCACAAAATCTTTGGCATAATTCCACAGCAAAGTCCTGCCAAGTCTCCCTTGGCCTTTGTAGAATAAACCATCATACCATATTTCAGCTTTTCTAGTTAAGTACATTGATGCTATTTCTAGTTTTTGGTGGTCGGCAATAGAAAAAATAGCAAAATACTTTTGGCACGTTTTAAGCCACCCTCTGGGATTAGTTCCATCAAAGCAAGGTAGTTCAATTTTAGGCCTAGGCGTATAAGCATTCATGTTGGCTTGGTTTTGGTGGTTAAAGTTGGCATGGAAATAACCAATATCCTGTTGATTTTTTGACAAAATTCCACACTCACTATTTCTACAAGTATATTTCCCCTGGTCATCTACTGTAGTGACTTCAACAAGTGCCTTACCTTCTCGCCTCATCAGGAAGATTGGAATCTGTTGGCTGCTGGTAGCTCCTCCTGACTCATTCTGCATTCGAGTGGCCCCTATTCGATTGAGCATATCCAGCACTTGACTGATGCACCCTTGACTCTCGGCCCACTTAGCATCCTGGGTCTTCCTTTCTTCATCAAGGATCTTCCTTTGTTCCACCCACCATTTGGGCACAATATCACCAGTTGTAAGTTTATTCAGCTGCTCTTGCATAACATGCATCTGCTCTTGTAAAGAGTTTAATCTTGTTCCTTCTGCCATGGTTTTGCTTTTCTTAAACTTTCCCAGATTGTAGTTGGATCGTAAAGCTTTGATAGCAAAAATGTTATAGAATAATGGATAACTGACAGTAAAGAAAAATGGCCAATAAAAATATGGAGATAAGGGTGAATAAGAGGACGGTGAGAAGACAAGAAAGAGAACTTAAACCAGCGAGAATAGGCAGAGAAGAAGCAATTTCATTTCATTCTAATTTCGTTACAAGCGGCTCTTATATATTTACAATACATCACGTCTAATATTACTGAATTCATGGATCCAATCAAATTGCCTCATAGATCAGCTACTGCTCTTCTGCCAGCCTTTTCGTCTTCACTCACTTTTTTCAGAATCTACCTCCTTCAGCTTGTTAACATGCAGGCATCCTTCCTCAACCTTTGCTGCGTTATGAGCTGCATCAGCCAATTTTACCTCTGTTGTCAATTCTCCTGCTGTCAATTCTGTTTTTTTAGCAGCTGCATTGATCAAACTCATCACGGTAGACTCAAGACTAAACTGTGCCCAACGCTCTCAGCCAACACCCTTAAGAAACAGAGGACAAATTTCATTTGAAGGAGGGTGTTCCAAATACGAAAGTTACAAGGAGAATGTCAATGTAGCATTACTACTCTAAACACTAATTGCCACAGTGGCATTTTCAGCTGGTTTCACAATCCCTGGAGGTGACAACAAATCTAGTACTGATGAAGGTGGAAAGGATGTTCCATCTGTTTGTCATCTGCAACACAGTAGCGATGTATAGCTCCATCATTGATGCAGTTACACTCATTTGGGCACAGTTAATTGATCTTGGTTTGGTGTTCCTTGCTCCTAAATTGGCATTACCTCTACTAGGAGTTGCACTTACAATGATGTTCATAATTCATGAAATGGTTTACATTTGGTGGTGAGCAAGTTTACTTGCCAGTGTTGTCCTTTTCATGTGGTTGATTTTTCTTGTCATGCTTGCATCAATCTTTTTTCCACTGTTGCTCAGACAACTGCTACATTCTGCCTTGCATTTCTTACCATCCCTTTTATTTGATGTTGTACATGTTTGGAAGCCACGAGGGCGATAACTCAGAGGAATTGCTTTCAGCCATCTTTAACATCAATGTTGATGAGTGGAAATAAACATCTTATACAGTTATGATTAATGCACACGTACCGCAGGCGAAGGTTTTGTAAATAGATGGTCGAACAATTAGGTTTGTTGCATGTACCGAACACTGAAAATTTCATGTATATGTTAAGTTTTAATCTTCCTATTTTACTATTGAAGGGATTGGATTTTTCTTTGATTTCATGCTGGAACTTATAATTGCAGGACAAAGAAAACATAGTAATGAGTTTCTATGAAGTTAATTTGAACAAGAGAAAAGTGTTTCAAAAGGGGACCAGATACTTGACAGAGAACTGGAGAAGTAAATGGTAAGAAACAATGAAGGGAAATCAATCAGATACCTCTCTCTCTCTCTCTCTCCCCACCTCCTTTTCTTTTTCCCATTTTCCTTAGTGTCAGCCAATACTTACTAGTATCTGCCCAAGAAGGGAAGAAAGCTTGTTTGTTCTACAAAAGGCTAGCTATCTGTCACACACATACAGATTCTCTAAGATGGTTTTGTCCAAGCACTTGATGAATGCTGCAGCTGAAGGGGGACCAAACTTCCCTCACATTTCCACACACTGACATTGCTTTTTGTAAAGCATGGAAAAGCAAGGGAAAATGGCCAAGCAAAAATACAGTTAATTTCACTAATGTTTCAAATAACTGAAGATGTACATAAATTAATGAAAGAGATTAGGAATACCATAGATACTTTATGCAAAAGCTAATGAAGTAATTAACCCCTCAAATTCAAGAATCAATGCATGTTGTAGGATTTGAATTGAAAATATTTGCATGCCATACCAGTAAGAAACTGAAAAGAAATGACTGTCACGTATACACTGGAGAAAATTTACCCAGTAAAGAAATAAGTTTAAAAGGGTGAAAACAACAGCTTGTCGTTCCTTTTACACAGAGAACAAACAGAAACAGGGATAACTGTTACATAGCCCTTTAATAAAGAGCTTGTCTCGCTTTGTAACTCCTAATCTAAGTCAATTAACAAAAACTAAACAATGTCTTGGATGGAAGAGAGAGAGGAAAACTTCCAAAAACTAATTTCTTCAGCTATCCACAAAGCAAAACCCCAGGCCTCAATAACTTAAACAATTCAATTTAAATCACTCACCAGAATTCTTCCTGACAAGTGCAAAGTACCCTAAAACGGCACAAACAGCAGCTACAAGATTCCCTTCCTTCAACAAAATCTTGAACACAAAGCCAGCGATCTCTCTTGTAATCTTCCTTCCTTCAAGCACCAAGGTCCTCTTTGGTTTGCCAAAGAAAGAAAGCAAAACCACAACAGTTATCCAGGTAACCAAAGTTGCTGGCACAGCCACAGCCAGAGCTGCAATCATAGAAAGCAGCCCAAAAACGACACCAAGAAGAACAGATGCATAGAGGGCAGGCCAGCCAGAAGAAGCAGAAGATGGTTGGGCTTGACATTTGTACCAAGAAAGTATTGATTTAAGGGAATTCCACGAAGAAGCTAAAAGGATGGCATAAACTAGCACAAAGAGAAATACCCATGTTCTCCTTTTGCTCATAATTTTTAGAAATAGCGTGTACGATGATGTTGGAGAAGTGGGTGGTGCTTCTTGTTCTTGCTCCATGTCTTTCTTCAATTTGAAGTTGCCTGATTCTCTCGTTTGGTTTTCCTCTGTCTGTTCTATTTTGGTTTTCAGTTATTTTGGGCTTTTGGAATTGTTTCTTGGTGAATTTTGGGTCTTCTCTAAGTCCGAGACTCTGAGATGAGATGATGAAAAAGTGGAAACTATGAGCAAACAAGTTAAACGGGGAATGCCAAGCGCAACTGATAGGAAAGGCAGGCAAATTAAGCACTTGGTCAGCATGTGATTGGATCGTGTATTAAACTTGCTTGAGAGACGGTGTTATAGTTTGGGATGCGTCAACTATACCCATGTCTTTGTGGAGAACGACAGTAGGGTTCTTGGAAGTTTTATACCAAATTCTATGGGCTTTTTGGGACACAACGAATTAGATTTGGACCAGAAGTCTTATATGGGCACTTTGGAGCGTCAATTACTTCTTCGACTGAAGCTTGCAAGAACTAGTTTCTTGTTGGGATAGCCAACCTCTTCCTTTACACCTTGCAGAATCTTCTCAGCTTCTTAGAAACCCAGCAACCTAACAACTTTTCCCCCTTTTTGTATTATTCTTCTTGACTAGGGAAAACGTGGCAAAGCAGTAGAGAGGGGTACAGCCAAACACGTCCCCATGCCAACAAGACAAAAACAAAAAAAGGGTAGAGTAGACTGAATCTGAAGCTTGTTGGCAACAACAAAAAAATTCACTCAGTAGAATAAATCTGAAACTTAATTCCGTTTATTTATGTAATAATTATTAAGAAACGATATCTAATAAAAATAAACTTAGAATCCAAATTTCATTATCATATATTTTTCCTGAACCAAATTAGTTAAAGAAAAAAAAAAAGAAATAGTAGACAAGGAAAAGAAGCTTGTTTTATTTCACCACGTCCTGCTTTAGTTCTGCTGGCTAGTACAAATTGCTGTTTGTAAGTTTAGTAGGATGACTAATTTGGAGATGCTTTCGTCCTTGAGTCTGAGCCATCCAGGAAGTTTAATTAATGTGGATGTTGTGCTGCATCAAAGGCCTCCATAATGGATCAACCAACACATATCATTTTGGTTGATGCCTTAAATTTTCTTCAGCCTTACGTTTTTCTATTAGCATCGGCTGTAACAGATCTAAACAGAAATGAAGGATCCATCTTACAGTTAGTTCAACTACAATTCACATATAAATAAATGCTCGGTTTGACAATTCAAATGGCCGTACCGTCTGAGAGGTGGACATACCCATTATCTTAAATTAGATCCTGCACATGTCAGAACAAATGTTGATATGTAAGTCACCAGGTAGATTTCAGAGCAGACTGAGTTGGCTATCAATTTATTCACAGTATGAATAAAGTCAACTTCAGGGAAGCGAAGGGAAGGGATGGGAAAAAAGGAGAAAAGATATGTAAGTTCAACTTCTTATTTCTTCTAGGAAACGTTTATTCAAATTATATGTATAGCAGTTGCAGCTTCAGAGCTTATTCCAGATTAATATTTAGGGTCACTGTAACAGGTTTTTGATTCTGAAATGAGTTTGTCTAAATTTTGTTTTGGGCAAGATGCATAGATAAGCAAGCACCAGAGTGCAATTACAAATCAAGTGATTGCAAATACACAATATTTTCCATGCTAATATGGAAGGATTGGCAGCCGCCTTCCAAGGGCATCTAGCTCATCAGGCTTATTGGAAACATTGGAACCACAATGTCCATGCAAATATTCTGCAGGCTCTCTTTTTTAAATATCCATCTACCATTTTGCAAGAAACTGCACATTTTCAAAACCATGTTTCAAGAAACATGGAATCTTGCATCATTTGATCCCAAATCATCTGCTACTAGCTCTGACGAAGACATTCAATTGAAATCAACAACCATATTCGGTAATGTGACAGTCCACATGAATCCATTTGCGCTCTAGTTCAAGCTAATCATACTTCTCCCTCCAAGTATACAGTAAAAAGAACACCCAAGAAAGAGCCAGCAGAAAATCACCAGCGGCTTGTCTTGGCCAATCCCAAGCCAAATCCTCTAGCCTCCTCTCAAAATTAACTCTCCAAAGAGCCATTGATAAATGAAGGAGTACACAGCCTTTGGCGAAAAAGCTCTGGAACTCTTTATCCTTGACAAAGGCTACCATGAAAACCAAGAAGCCAACAATAAAGAGAAGCAAACCAACAAAAGAATTGGATGTCTTAATCAACAATTGATCATGTGGGGTTGACCCTGAAAGCTTTTGAGCCGTTTCAACACCATGGCCAAATATATAGATCTCGTTTAGATAGAACATTATCAAGGATCCACACGTTATTGCAATCACGGAATGGAGAATGCAGATCACAAAGAATAAGGACAAACCCATTGTACCAACTATAACATGCCTTGCTTCAGTTGTTGTGTAGATCTTCCCATTGTCTTAACAACTCCAAAAAGTTCAAATTAAGATTTAAGAAAAATCGAGACTTTACAATGTGAAGTAGGAACTAATTATAGCACAAAAACAGACAGATGGACCCACCAAGGTAAACCATAATAGGTGAGAATTGACAAAGGATCAACCAATTTATGACGATGAGAATGAACAAAATATCATGAAAAGAATAGAAACCCAGATGAACCACTAAGGGAAAACCTCAAACTTCACAAATTTGGATTGTTGTATACTAATGAGAAATTGTTGAAAACATGTAAATCCAAAACCCCAGTGATCTACCTCAAGTAAAAACCCGAAAAAGGAAAAGAAATTTGAAGAATTGATAAGTCTAAGTCACAATGTGCCAACTATCAAAGGAAAAAGCTTGTAGAGAAAATGAAGAACAAACAGTGGCATAGTCAAAGTTTCACTTTCGAATCAGAAATAGGAAAAGAATTGAGAAGAGGTTGAAATTGAGAATTTCAATGAAGAGAATCTGATCTGGAAGTTGGATTAAATGACCAAAGATTGAGCTGTGGGCTTCGTTGGAATGTGTGCTTCTAAGCGGTTTGGTGTTTGATGGGTTTTGTAATTTTCGTCGGTAATTTTAGGCTGTTCTATGAAGCATGAAAAGCTTTGATGGTTTTTCTATCAGTCTGCCGTTTCTCAAGGCTTTATATATAAATATATATATATATATGTATATATGTATAATTACCAAGGCTTTATAAGTTACATAAATTTGTTTAATTTATTTACTAAGAAAATTATTTTAAGTGCTTGAGATTAGTTAATATTTAATAAAAAAAATTATTTTATTCATTCGAACTCAATTCATTTAAATAATACAATATACGTATTCAATTCATATTTAATTCGATTAAATTAAATAAACTCGATAATAAATATTAAATAAATATATTCATGAACATATATAAATGAATATATTCATAAATAATAAACAAATCATACCTAAACAAATTAAAATAAACGAACGTCAAATAAATATAAACAAATCTAAACAAATATAAATAAATTTTAAAATAAGATTAAATTAAATGAAAAAAAAATAAAAAATTCTATTTACACTCATTATTAATCTAAACACCTCATTTTTAAATCTATTCCAAATTTAAAATTTAATTTCTTATTTCTACTAAATACACTTACATCCCTCACTTTTTTATTCTTCATTCTTACTCTTTCTTTCTTTTTCTCTCAAAAATGGATTTAGATTCTCCAATATCCATTTTCAAAAAGTTTGATTTCACTTCCGAAAATGGATTTTTTATCTTTAATAATTGAAAACCTTAATCATGTAAATCCATATCCTATGAGTTGTTCAAAAATAACTTAATTGAAAATATATGCATTTATGGATCCATTTACTTAATTATGTGTGAAAATGAAACTAAAATCAATATTTTTAAGTATGCATGATACAAACTTATTATTTCTCTTAAGATTCCAAAAAACCAAGAATATCTTATTTTTTTATTTTCTAGTTTTGCATGGGTATAAGAGTATTCTTAGTTTTTATGTCTCAATACAAAAACACTTTTATACCCATGCATGTTTGAAAACTAACATACCTTCCATTTGCTCATATGATTAAGTAAAAATGGACACATCGATGACTTAACCCCTCCCACCCATGCTTGCTCAAGAACTTGTCGCCAATATCCTATATTTGTATTATTTATTTTCAGATTAAATGTATTTAGTTTAATTATTTTATTTTATTGTCTCCAATAAAATTATTTTATTTAAATTTAAATTAAATATATTATTTATTTTAAGATTAAATATATTTATATATTTTCAACAATAGATTTCTAAAAATTTAGCATAATTCTCAAAAATTCATTTTTAAGAATTACATTGTATTCTTAAAAATTTATTTTTGAAAATGCATTTGCATTATCGAAAATTCATTTTCGGGAATGCAATATAATTCTTCTTGTCGTTGAATTCATAAGAAAAAGAAGGATTGAGTCTATAAGTTATTAAGGTATTTTTCTTATTTATTAAAAGCTAAAATTGGTATTTGTTATGTAGATATTTTTGAAAGAAAATTTAGAGGTGTATAGAGAAGATTTTGTGATGTATTTAGAATACACCTAAAAATATATATTTTATTATTATTAATATTATTATTAACAAATAATAAGTAAATAAGTTTTAAACGAATCTTATGAGTTTGTTTTGTGAATATAAATGAATCAAATAAATCTCTTTAAATGTTTAATTTATTTAATAAACAAACGTAAAAGTATTGTTCAAAATTATTTGTCAAATTTAATAAATGAATATAAACAAACAAAAATTGAATATGTTCACAAACGATTCATCAAATATTTTATTCGTATATACTTTTATTTACCATAATGAATAAATAAATAACGAGGATTTAAGTGTACTTCAAAAAAAGAAATATTACTAACAATTTAAGTTTGACTCTAAATATTCATAAAAAAAGGTTTTAACTTTAAATACTAATTGTTATCTGTATTATATAAGAGAAAAACTCTACAATTTCGACCAATATTTTTTTAACCAAATTTTATTTTACCTTCCTTTTGTAACAAATAATTCGAATAAATAAGTTGCTCTAATGCAAAGCGTGCAACACAAGCAAACGAGAGATTATTGAGAAATGAGAAATTATCAACGACCGGACTCATCTTTTTTATAGTCGAAATAATGAGCTAATTGATTGATTTTTTTTTAGCATTAAGGCCAACGAATTAACCGGTTAAATCAACCACCATGATATCGTAATTTTAGTTTACTTTTATTACATGAATTAAAAGTCAAATTTATATTTTTATCTAGATAAATTTATAATCAACTAATTAAGTCCAAATGACACGATTGTGATTTGTTCGCTCCATGATTAGAGTTCCAAATTCCGAGTTTCTCACTCTCTTTTAAACCTTTTCATACGTGAAAAGATCATTGAACAAATACTTGCCACTGGAAGCATAAAATCAAGGAGTTTATCAAATTAACAATGGGTAGATTTGCGATTTCATTACTTTACCACTTTAATTAAGAATGGAAATAAGATCAAATACAAAAGACGATTAGTTCAAAAAGAAACTTGCTTTGAAAAAATAAACATCCCCCATGTGGTCATTTATTGTTAGGCAAATTCTTCTCTTTCCCTTTTGCCAAATCCTTCTTTTTTTTTTTTTTATAATAGATGGATTTTGGCTTAGGTGATGAGAATTTTTTTTTTTTCATTGTAATTAGTTTGAATTCATTAAAAATTTATAAAAAATATTTTTATAAAATTTTTAAAATTCGACATAAATAAATTTATTTGAATTTAATTAAATTGAAAAAATTATAATAAGCAAAATTTATAAATACTTACTGTTGAAAAACATATTTTTTGTCAATTTCATATCATTATTATAATAACCAAAATGCGTGCTTTTTTTTTTTTTTAAGGTTAGGCTTGTTCAAGTCCAGCAGCTTGAATTTTTCATTGTGTGGTGACTTTAGAGTGGAGAATGGGGTTGGGTTGTTTTGAATTAAAATTTCGGCTTCTTCAAGCCCATCAGATTTTTCCATTAGAGATTAATATTGGAGATGAGAAAAAAAATCAAGAAAATTAAATTAAAATTATAGTGCTTAGTTTGATTTAGATTGATTTTTTTAATAGGTTCATATTAAATTTGAATAGCATATATCATATATAATATTATATTATAACATATATAGAAACTTGATAAGTTTTACTTATGTAAACGCTGAATAACCTATATTATTGATATGTAAGATAATTTTAAATAATTTTATTCAATTAATTATTTAATTTTTAAAAATTTTAAAGTTTCAAAATTTACATTTATGCAAGTTTTTCAAAGTATATAAGTTTTATCTTAGTTTAATATAAAAAAAAATATCATTCATCACTTTTACCTATATATATAATACAAAATTCAAATAGTTTTTAAAGGTTAAGCCCTTAAATCTTAAGAATCATAAAAAATCATACACCATCTAAATCAATATTCGTAGACACCCCACTTTTTTTTTGAAAATTTTTTCGGAATCGAAAATGGGCCTTTGACTATACAGTGGGTCTTATTGCAAAATTTTGAGCTCAAAGAACTAAAAACTCGAAAAATTCTAATTTTGGTTTTAATTCGATTTTAGTTTTAGTTTTAATTTTGATTTTTGGTTTTTTATTATTTTTATAGTCAAAGGTTAAAAAAGTCAAACAAAAAGGAAATAAAAAAAAAAACCAAAAACGTTGAATCTTCCACCAAGAGTTTGATTTCGGATTCAATCCTTAGGGTTTAATGACTAATGCACTTATGAAAAAATTGAGGGTTTAAATACTACGAAATCAAATCACAAAAAAAAAAAATTTACGGAAATCAAATAAAAATAATAATAAAATCACATATTCAGTGGGATTGTTTTTCAAATTGAAATAGCTTAGAGCCCTATATTAAGGGCTAGAATTTGTGACAAAAAAAGGGTACATAGAAATTAGAAAGGGGACAATTTGGTTGAAGCTGTAAAAAATTTCTCTAAGTTTGTTTTTGGTTTCGAGGAATACGATTGAAGGATTTCCAGGATTGAGTTTAAAATTTTGACATTGGGTTTTTTTTCTTTTTGGGAGTTTGAGGGATTCTAGTTTGGTTTTCTAAAAATCTTAAATTCTTGGGCAAGAGGCAATGAAGGAAAACATTTAAAAATTTCTGGGTTTATGGGAATTTGGAAAATTTTTTAGGTCTTCTGAGTTCTTGTTTGATCATGGGTGCTCTTTGCAAGTTTAAGCATTATTTGGTTTGATTTTTGAGATTTCTGGAATTGGATTTTGATCAAGTGTGATTTTGAGATTTTTTTTTTAATTTTTGGAAAAATTTTGATTTTTCTGGGCTTGGGTTAAATTCTAAGAATATTTTGAGTTTTTTGGGTTTTATATGAACTTTCTAGCGAAAGTTTAAATTTTTCGATAAGGGTTATAGCGGCCATAAAGGTTTCACAATGGTCAGGTTTTGAGTTCATCCAATTTTTGAAAAATTTTGAATATTCTAGTTGTCGTTTGAATTTCACGGAGCTAAAATATAGAACTTAAGCTACCGGATAAGTTTTCTATTGAATCTTAGAGAGAAAGCAAAGGAAAATCAGTTAGAGAGAGAGGGGCTGAGGCAATCTAAAGAAATAACTAAAACTTTGGCTTTTATATGTGAACAATACAACATTGTTTTGGAAAAGCTTGAACCTGCGTACCAATCAGTGCAGATTTGTGCATAATCTAGCTTTAGACCTGCCCGCATTGTAGGTTTGTCCTTTTTTTGTTTATTTTTTATATTTTTTGTTTTGTTTTTTATATATTATTTTATGTTTATATTTTAATATTTATTGTTTTAAATGGTTGTTTGAATTTGGTGAGAAAAGAAAAAGGAAAAAATAGTTTATTTTTGCTTCATATTTTTTTATGAATCTATTTTTTTACTTATTTTAGCATAAGTTTAATATATTTGCATGATTTTTTTTTATATTTAATTGTA